GGCTCTTTCGTGATTGAGAATTGTGTGATTAAAGATCGACAATGCAAGTGGTGCGTTATTTTTGCATGCCACTGTATAACTTTTGATTTTCATGCATGTAGATCGACTTTTAGTCGACTTGAGTTGGTAAAAGTCGAGTCGTTAGCATCCCTATTCCCGACATTTTAAATTAAGATCCGTTCTATCGTTGTTAACAAATGCTAGTGGTCGATCCCCATAAACCAGACTAGTTTGTCGGAAGTTTAGATTTGGGGAGTTGGTTAAAGCATAGTCCATCATGTGATCCATGTCCAATAGGAATGTTTGATCAACCCGGCAAAACAAATCCGACACAAGATATGAAAAATAAATATTACTCGAAAACCAATGCTTATATTTGTCTTGGAATACTTATTAAAATTGTCGGGACAGCAAATTTACATATAATCTTGTCCTCTGTCCTAACCGTTACCTTTACCCAGACCTTATAAATCATAAAAATCATTAATAGTAAACTCTGAAAATTTATGTGGATTGATCACATGATGGACTACGCTTTAACCGTTGTCGAGAAGTTGGATTGCCGGGAAGTTAGATTGTCGGGGGTGTCAAGAATTATATCAATAAAATTTATTATTTTTTTACAGTCTACATGATTTGCATAATTTTGGTCAAAAAAATTTCTGCTACCCGCTACATGTATATGTATATTTATTCAAGTCTAGTTTAATTGTACGTGTACTATAACGTTACAAAAATTATTTGTCACATAATTCATTCGCCACTAGCATTTTCATCAAATACTCAATCGTCATAGGTTCGTTAATCGTTAATTCGTCAAAACAAAACTTTACTTGACGAAAGGTTTCTAGCTGGGGAGACTCGTGTACAGTCAAACCTGGATATAACGAACCTGATTATAACGAAGCATTAATTAAACTCGGATAAACTGAAGTTGGATACAGGAACAGTTATAGGGATAAATCGAATAACTCGAGATTTTTTACTAACAGCCCGACCCCTTCGTTACATCCAGGTTTGACTGTAACATGATTTGTTTACACAAAGAAAGAAAAGAAACGATAATTCATAGGATTTATCAAACATTATAGGTTTCTTCAATTCATCAAAATAAAAGTTACTTGACGAAAGATTCGTCAATTACACTACAAAAAATTTATCATACTCTGACCACAAAAATACGGAGGATCGACCCGCCCATCGGGCGAGACCCGGTCCGTATCACTACTCAATATACATGTAAAACAAAATAGCATTAGGTTATATAATATTATCTAAACTTGGGACTTTAAATAAAATGCTGTATCAGCATCCATATGCATCTACCAAAAATACATGTAACTTTTTTGCATACACGTACAACCCCCCAAGTATCTATTTCCAAACGAAGGTAAAACTTATAATATAACTCAAAACAATTAATTAACTTTTTAAAACGTCTCCTACATGTCCATTTCCAAACATAGGAAACAAATTGACGGAATATCAAAAAGAGAAAGTTATTTTTAGAAGAAAGTGATAATTTTATAAGTCAATAATAATTTAATCGAGCATTGAATAATATTAATAATGTTTTAGTTTGAATAACAAAAAATTACTTCAATTTCTTGGTATTTACATATTCATTAGATTAGTCATCACTTTTTATTTATCTTATTCTTTTAAATGTATTTAGAGAATAGATAGATGCTCATATTAAACACTCCTTATACCATGTACTATGAAACTAAAAATAATATTTTCATTGTTGTTATTTCTTTGATATATTCTATAAATCGCTTTGTTTATAGATGTATTAATCAACAAGCAAAAAAGCATCTCAAGTTTTAATGAGTGATATTGGTTTATAGTGGCCATTGGAGATTTTGTTTACGTAATTATATGAGTTTTTTCAAAAGCTACGATACATAATTTATTCTCTCTTGGCATTTATAAATATCTGTAAGGTTATGATACTGTGTACATCTAGATGTGCATGTACATGCATATGTACAGTAAGCAACGGAGTTCGTAAATTTGAACTTGCAAATGAAACACATCTTGTTTTTATGTAGAGCATTTCTAGTTTTGATGACTCCGTATTACTCTCTTAAATGTTACTTATGTTAGCATTACGTGAACATGTATGTGTTGTATTTGCTAATGTTGGTATTACTACCCGTTTTATCACATCTACATGTATAAAGAAAGCTTTTTGCAGACTTCATTTAATCTCATTCATAAAAATGTTTTTTAAATGTTTTTTATTCATTATATGTGTACTTATGCTTAAATCTGTGAATGGTGGAATTACCACACAAAGCGGTGATGAGACTTCTGCCCTTACAATCACTTCAGAAAATGTTCCCACGACTAGCTATGCAAATTTGCATGCACCATCAACTTGGCCTTCAACACAACCATATAATGGCATAAAAGATCACACTTTCTACACCGTTTTTACATTCGTTTATGTCTTTTTGACATTGTGTTTCATTAGTTCTTCCTATGTAATATATCGAACTTATATGAAATGGAAATATAATGATTACGAATCACTTCCTATGTCACTAAGATTACCGTTTTATGCTGCTGCAATTGGTGAGTCTCGAGTCTCATTTTTAAATAATTTTTAATGAAAAAATCTCATATAACCTAACTTCTTTTATTATAATTTTCAATGGATAGATTTGTTTTTAACAATTGTATTTCTAATCAACGTAGTAAATATCCGATTTCATTGTATATTTTGATTTCAATATTAATCTCATCAAATAAACTGTATAAATTTTTAAAAACAATAGAGCTACGCAGCTAGATATGCGGTTCAATGGTACAGTCCAATATGCGAGATGCTTGGTGCATTGTCAGTTTGGAGCGGTTGCTTAAACGTGCACTTTTTCTTTGTAATAACAATTCTCACTTATCTTCGAGGTTAGTCCTATATGTAATTAATGTGTTTTAAAAAATCATACTTACACCGTCCATGTTCAGTCTGTCGAAAGGTGCAATTCGATTATGGTAAATATGATTACAAATTTTTCCTAATCATTGTTTTGTGGGCCTCGCTACCGGAATTGCCAGCCCTCAATGGAGGATACGGTGCACAAAGATGGTGGTATGTAAAACTCGCGATCTTTGGAGATTCTTAAAAATTTTCAAAATTTTTTCATTTCTTTTGATAAAAAGGTGTGGTACGAAGGGTGCCTCCAGACTCATTGCAATAACATCATTCGCCAATCTAGCTTTGGGATTGTGCTTAACAGCATTTGCATACGTTCGTATTTTAATATTGCTAGCAAATCATCGCCCACAACTAGATGATCCCAGCAACATTGAGCGTCGCATCACCCAAGTTATCGTACGATATATTTTGCTTTTTTTCCTACAATGGGTAATTTGAAAAAAAATATATGATAAATTTAAGCAATTAAATTATTGTTCACTGACAAAGTTCTATTAATTGTTAGTTGCCAGCTGGCGCGTATTCGATAACTCAGATGAATGGTGATGAAGCAGCTTGGACATATATAGTCTGGATATTAGGTTAATATCTTTATTTTTATCATTATGTCATAGCTTAAACTTTGAGTTTAATCAGCACTTTCCATAAAAACAGGACAGACTTTCAATGGAATAGCAAACGCCATACAATACATACTAATCGAAGGATTATCACATAAAATTACACTAAGTTCTAATAGTTCTAACTCATCAAACAACACAATTCTGGTGACTAAAAAATGTATCGAAATATAATTCTAACTAAAACCCATTTTTTCATATCATTTGGCCGTGGCCAACGAATTTTTCGGTCGAAAATACTCACAAATGGTCATCGCATGTATATTTTAATAGACTTAGATAAAAATCGGATTATACTAAAATTCAAAGAATACCCTACTCAATACTGCGCGTGAATTTATTTGTACACATTTGCATGTAATAATATCTCGATATAGTTATTGTTTCAATTGACCTAATGTAAATTTAGAGAAATAATTTATATATAAATAAGAAGGATTTCCCCACGTGATTATTAATTCACCTAAAAATCAATCTGCCAAATCTACTGGTCAGATTCTGATGAACTGATACGAGTGCGGATAAGTCAGAATTGAGCACTGGCTTGATGATATGATTACCTTAATGTTCACCATTTACTGCTGTTCTAGTCATCTTGATTATTTTAATGAATTTTCAGTTTTAAGTACTCTTGTTTTCTAAGCTCATGTTATACTCTTATTTTGAATATTTTTGATATTGAAAATGTTGGAATCCTATTCCAGAAAACAGATCAATTGCTAAGGTATTTCGAAAGTTTGGCTACTCTATATATGCTAAAAAAGTTATTCTTCCAAATGATTTGGAGTTGAGACTGAATTTTTTATATTTGCAGCATCACAGCTCTTTAAATGATCCTAAAACAAATGAATAAATAAAATAAAATTAAAAGAACTTAAGATGATATTATCAAATGCGATTCACACCAGTTCAGCCGAACCTTTACTTCAAGACTAATATCAATTTCAACTGATACAGAAACGCACATTTTATTTATTTGAAATTCAGATTCTTCTTTAAACATATACGTAATGATATAGCAATAAAATAACTAATTTTTTATATTTTTATACATAATCAACACTTACCATGTACATGTATATGTATCTAAATAAACTTTCTTTTTCTCATACATAATCAAACACTCGTTTTTTCACATACATGTATATGTATCTAAATAAGCTTTGGTCTTAATGAAATTGTTTGTCGTTTCAAGCAATAAAAAACTGCACATGACACACATAGAATTTGAATACATGTATACGATAACAATTGCATGTATCTCGTTTGTTTTTACATCTTAAATAATTCGCATTTTATACAGTGAAATCAAAAATGGAATTAAATACTCATCATTGTAGGAAATGTCAAGAAGATAAATAATGCGTTGGATGTTTTTATTATCGTAAACGAATATCTTACAAATGGAGGTTTTGGAACAATCCATAAAAAAACCTGGTTGGATGGACCAGTTAGTTATCCATATAAATGTGGATCATGAAGAAAATAAATTTAAAGATGGAAAGTTGTGTTTGGATCATTACACTATTCAAGGCAAACTACTTATGAGTTTAAAAACGAGGTAAAAAATGAACATTTTCTAAAGTGAAAGTTGCTTTTTTATTTTCTGATACGATAGAGAAATTTTCAAAATTGATTCAGGCTACTCTTAAATGCAATATGTTTTATTATATTTAATGTTATGGAATAACTATAAAACCAAGCAACAAACGAATACTCAATAGTATTGACTTATTATTATCAGAATAGCATTAAATGCCTTATTTTTATAATTTTTCTCATAATTAGTTTATGTTTCATTTTTATCTTTGTTACATTTAACAGTTAATCTAAAATTTATTCTGTACTATTGATTTTTTAATTGTAAAAATTAAATCTTTATTTACTTTATCATTACATTTAATATTTGCATAATCAAAACTTATAATTACTATAGTACATTAGGATGATAAATCTGACAGCAAACTGACTTGAGAAAGTATATAACTTCCAACAAATTATCTATAATAATCTTATACATATAAAAAATAAAAAAATCAAAGAAATTTTGAAGAGAATTTAATTAGTCTCATTGGAGTTCAATCTTACTTAGAGAGACCAAATATTACTGTAATAATATAAATTTCTTTAATTTCATAATTTTTCAAACTTGAAATTTTTAACTAATGAATAGATCTTTAGAAGATATATAATTTTAAATAATATAATTAGTATATCAGTTATGAATTCAATCATGATTCAATAATATTTTTGTAATACTTCTGTAATATTTTAGTAATGATTCAAGATCATGAATAAATAATTAGTTCAAAAGTCAATAACAATTCACAAATAGTTCAATAATAATTCAGAAATACTTCAAAAATAATTTAATACTAAATTTAATTTATTTTTATTATTAACTTTTTCTTTTTAGAATATTTATCTTATCTTTTTATTTAATTTATTATTTGTATTATTTTATAATTTATTATATATATCTTATTTCTTTATTTTATTTATTCATTTATTGATCTTTTGCCCCAAAATTTGTAATTATAAATTAGAATAGCAAATAAGTTTAGATAAAAACTTGTAAATCTTAAAGATATATAAATATCTCTACTCTGAGACATGAAATAAAGATATTTAAATAGTAATAATTCAATTATCTTTGAAAATACTTGAGTTATACTTATTTTGTAATTTTTCTTTGATTTTTATCTTGATATTTTACTTTCATTTACCTCTTCTATTATAATAGATTATATTTTGATTATTTATATATTTTTCTTATCTAAAAAATGTAGATAGTGGATACTCTTCACTTAAAATAAGCCAAGTATATTTTATTTGATTTAGAAGATTCTTGTAAGCTTTCCCATATATAAAAGCTTTTGATTTATTTTGATATATATTCTTTATTTATCTAATAATTAAAAAGATACTATTAGAGAGTTTAATTAGTATATTAAATCTTTTGTTTTTGTTATAATATTTATTATTTTAGTTTTTAATATCTACTCTTAGTTTAATTTTTATAATCATAACTTTATTCTTATTTTATTTTGTTTTTGTCTTTTATTGATATAATATTTATAAGTATTAGCACTTGAAAATCTTTAAAATAATCATTATTCTCTTAATCTTTATAAATAATTCAGTCTTTGCTCTCAAAATTTATTATAAATTATATTCTTAATAAAACATATCTTTCTAAATATAATTTGTAATATTATCTGGAATATCATAAACTAGTATAGTTTTGTTCAGCTTATTATTAATTTTTATAGTTTTATGTGATCTATCATAAGTTTTTATAGTTTTACCTGATATATTATTGATCTTTATAATTTTATTTGGCTTATTATAAGCTTGTGTAATTTTATCTAATATATTATAGACTTCTCTTATTTTAAATCTAAAAAATACTTATAGAATGATTTTTTGTAAGTTTTGTAAAATATTTTATTATAGGTAATTATAAAAGAAGAAAGAATATTAATTTATTAGTAATTCTGAATTTCAGAAACTTCATTTCACAATATTTTTGTTAGATATTAATCAAGTATTTGATTAAATCTCTTGATCTTGTCTTGACTTTGCAGATAATAGATACAATTATAAACAAGTTATATTTTGAATACTTTATAAGTATATTTTAAAATAATAGTTATAAACTTCAATCTGTTATTTGCTTGGAATTTTGAAAGTAGATCAAAACTTATAAAGACTTTAACCAATTCATAATGAATTATACTGTCTTCTTTATCTTGAAGTGAAATGATTTAAATATAACATGAAAATATATTAATTATCATAAAAATATAATTATATTTATCATTATACTTAGTAAAAAAAAATAAGTTAATTAAATTAACTTGAATATATTCAAGAGAGCTATCAGCTATAATAAGTATTAAATCAATTTTTTTTTGATACTGATATTTCAGATATAGATCAAGCAATTTCTTATATACTTTTTAATTTCATCTTGAATAATACTAATATATTACTCAAAAAGTATTATGTATATTTTGTGATACTTAAAGTAGATAGTCTTAATATGAAACTTTTCAAAGAGAGTTGCTTTTAACTTTATTTTATAGGCTGGAATAACTCTTTTAAAGATAAATCAGGAATTTTTATCTTTTGATAGTTGAATATATAAAAGATAATTCTTTTAATAGTTATATAAAAATTTTTGTATTATCTTTAGAAATTTACTCTTTTTGTCAAAGTATTATACTTTACTATAAAAGTATTAAATCTAAGATATCTCAAAATATTATTAAAATTCTTAGATATATTTAGCATTTTTGGAAGTCTGATTATTTTAAGAAAATAAAAAATTCAGAATTGTATAATATATTTATCTGATATATAGTAATTATATTTGTATTTGGATTTGTCTAACATATAATATTTATATTTGTATTTAACATATAAAAATTATGATATATATGATATAATTAAAACTATACTTATTTATGTATCTTGATTTTGATATAGTCTTCATTTATATAATTGATAGAAATAACTTGATTTAATGTAAAATAGTGAAAAGTAATATAAATATTATAAAGTAAAATTTAGTATAATCTTCTTTTATATAAATGACAGAAATAATGCAAAATATTAGAAAGTAAATAAAAGCAAAATTTAATACAAAGTATTTAAGAAACTAATAGTAAAAAGTATAATAAATATTAAAAAGACATGACAAATATAATATTAAGCCTGCTAGTGATAACTTTATTAATTATTATACTGTCACTTGATTAGCACTTTATTAGCTTATTTGATTATTAATAATATTTTATTTATTAGGATATATTATAATTTCTATCAAGACTTTTTATATTAGAAGTAAAGTTATGATTTATTTATTTATAACTATTATAAAGTATTCTAAAATAATAAAACTAGTGTAACCTTTCTAGTTACGTAATGTAATATATCCAGATAATTCACAAAGAAGAATCAGATATAGTGTTATATCAGGAAAATTCACACAGAAGATTCAAGATATAAGTGATATTATTTGAAATAGAATTCACACAGAAAACTAA